CCAGCCATGCTGGCTAGGGAATTCTGGGAGTTGAAGTCCACTCATCTTAAAGTGCCCAAGTTTGGACAACACTGGTGTAGCGTATGCTTCGCACAAGGACTCTGATATGTTTTCATTCTAACACTTACAGAAGTATAATCGTGTATAAAATTAGATGTATACCTGTGAAAGCTAAGTGAAAAGAAGGCACAGAGTAACAGGCATAATCTTGGTCTTCCCTTTCTAAGAAGTAAATGCTAACTAGACCATGTTGTAATATGGAGTACTGCAATGCATTCTACCTTGGCTACCCTTGAAAATCACTTGGGAGCTAGAGTTGGTCCAGAATCCAGTCGTGCAGGCAGTGATGGGCACACCATGATACACCCATGTGTCACTGTTGCTTTGTACTGGCTGCTGATTGGCTTCTGGGTTCAATTCAAGGTGCTGGTTACCACCTATAAAGCCCTTCATGGCATACAGTCTGGTTATCTGAGGGTCTGTCCATCTCCAATAGTTTGTTCCCACCCAGTAAGTTTGGGCAGAGTAGGTGCCCTCCAGGTCCCCTCAATCAATAAGTGTCATTTATTGGGACCAAGGAAGTGCTCCTGTTCTGTGACGGTGCCTTTCTTCTGCAACAGTATCTCCCTGGAGATCTGTATGGCTCCCACCCTAAGTGATTCCAAAAGTCTTTGAAAGCTTGTCCTTGCTCCCTGGTCTGGGTCTAGAATGGTTGTCAATCCTCTGTTGGTTTTCTTCTGAGGAGTTGGGTTTGTCTTTTTCCAGACAAATATATTCTTTCTTGTAAAATGTAAGCCACCCAGAGTAATGTGGGAGTCAGGTGGTCTCTAAATCCCAATCAATCAATCAATCAATCAATCAATCAATCAATCAATCAATCATTGTTGGCTAGTGGCAAGTAGGCAACAGTCAGTAAATATACCTGCAGATGCAGATCTCAAAGAGTGAATTTTGGTCAACATAGTTAAGCGTGCAAAGTTTGGCATGCTTAACTATGGACATGTCTAGAATAATATCAAGAAAAGCATACTTTCTATTTATTATAAGTTGCCAACTTTCTACATTTGAAACCACAAATGCATGGAACTAAAAATGTTTTCTCTTTAGCATCATTAGTTCTGCTGGAGAAATATTTGCTTTGAGAAGGAAGTATTCTAAGAGAGGAGCGAGCCAATAACTCTGTTTACCCTTATATGACCCCTTCCCCGCCCCCCCTTCATAGGAACACAATAGAATGATGGGGATGATGATGATGATGATGATGATGATGATGATGATGATGATGATGATGGGGATAATTCCATTCCTGTGGGTATGCCTATCTCATTTTCACCAGAAGAGGGAGCCAACTTCACAGTGAAATCTGTGTTGCTGAAGTTGGTGAACAACACAATGAATCATATAAAGAGAAAGTGAATGTGCCTTGCTGTGAAGTGCAGGAGGGGAGGGAGAGAAGAAAAGAACCAGAAATAAACCGCAGCAAAAAGATGAAGTGAGTCTTGTTCTTTCAGCTGGGAGTTTGTAGCATCAGCACTCTGGAACAGCCCACCCTCCTAAATGACATCTCTATTTGGTAAGTTCATGCCTCAGCCCTTAGCGTCAACTCGAGTTATGCGTGCTCTTTGTTTATGGCAGCTAGGATTCATAAGCAGGCAGGTTCCTTTGCCTTGACCGTGTGTTACTATTAGAGCATTTTGATTTTCCTTTTTTATAAATCATGTTCTAAAAGAATTAAAATGCATAAGTTCTCTAGGGTGAGCATATTTCTGGCATCCTTAAATATTTATACACATGGGTGGCCAAGCACAACTGTACCTAGAGTGTGCACAAATAGCTTTGAAAATTGGATGCCTGATACAACTCACAGAACTGGTATGGATGAGTAATTTTAAAGATCACTCTGGAATATATTTGTCCATTTATTTATGACTGGAGGATAAGTCCATACACCTTGATTGTTGGAAAGATAAGTAGGATCTTGAATGCCACTAAGAAACTACTCTGGCAGTGGGGAGTTAAAATTAAGATGGTATATTCAAATTTTGAATATTTTGGAATTTAATTTTTCAATGTTCCTTCACACATAGGGAAAACAGCATACTTGTTCTGTGTTGTAGAAGAAAAAGAGAGAAACTGGGCTTCTTGCAAGAGAAGATGCTTGATTTTTAAGGTCAGGAAATCTGAGTGCATACTGCTTTATAATTTTACTCATGCCTGGATGTCCTTCCTCTGAGATTTAGGAAAGAGACCTCAAGCAAATAAATCTTTCCATGCTGGGTTATGTTGCTCTCTATCACTCCGGGCAAGATGAAGCCAATACTTCCAGGGCTGTCAGCTTGGCGAGATGAAGAAAAAATATGCGAGATCATAGATGCATGTTTAAGGTTAGAGCACAGAAGAATCTGAGACAACTACCACACCTGGATGCATTTTAAGGAAAAAGAACCATTGACAGTTGCACCTAATGCTTGAGAAACAATGAATGGGCTGTAGCTGAAACATCCAGGGCTAAAGGATCTGAACTCTGGACCTGTCCTTACTCTTTTCTTTCCATTCTTCCAATGAAAACTAAAAGACCATCAAAGTTTTTACCAGATCTTTGCCAGAAAACTGGAAATATCATGTCTTTGCTTTGGATGATTTCATCCTGATGGGGCATTTCAACAGGATGTACAAAGCGTGACTTGGGTGATGAGCATCCAGACGGGACTGCCTTGATGCTCAGAGTTTGCACATGAATCATAAGGGCTGGCTGGAATTGAAGGAGCTTGTCCATGTCCTGAGAAAGCTAATTCAGAAGAGCTCTCAAAGTTCAGTCTGGTGGCTTTTGCTAAAAAATCAATGCCTGCTTACCATTTTGTCACCAGGATATTATTCCTAAAGCCATACAGTCTGCTTGCTGTGATTGTAACCCATTGGCTTGCTATGCAGTTCAAATCCTAAATATAAAGTTGAAAGAAAAATATTTTTCCTTGGATTAGACAAGAGCATCTAGAAGTCCTAAAGGTAGGATGGAGAATTTCTTCTTTATGCAAAACTGTGATCCTTCTATAAACACTTTGAATGTTTTAAAATGTAAATTTATTTTCTTTGCCTCTAGGATGGTGAATCTTTCTTAAACTATATGGAACAATGAGAGGAGTTGATTCCCGAGGCTACGTATAAAGGCAGAACTGATGTTTTAATTTCAGAGCAGAAAGGTATGAAGGCTGAGATGGGTTTAAGATGTCCATCAATTAGAGGGATGAGAAATTATATCAGTAACCAAAACATTTGAAGAGTTACACTTCAGTAGAGCAGGAGGGCTAGTTAAAAGGCTACTGGATGAGCTGAATCAATAATTTATTTAAGTGAGAATACATGTAAGCTGAAAAGTGATTACACTCTGAACAGAATTCTCAGAGGATTTTTCTGCTGGCCTGTTCCTGCTAAGAATATTCTATTTTAGACAAATATTTTAAAGAGGATTGTTAAGAAAAAAATCCGGGTGGGTGGTGGGTGGTGAGCCATGATGTAATCAGCAAGTTCAGATACTTGTGATGGAATATCTGTGTGTTTTTGTTTTTATTTGTTTTTAAGTTTTTTTGAGAACGAAGGGATCCATCCCAAGACCAGAGACTTGAGCACGAATCTTAGGGTGCCTGCCTGGTTCTGAGCAATTAACTTGTAAGCTCTGTAGGTACATAAGGAGCTGAAGCCACTACCAGGCCTGTGACATGATTTTGCCTGAGAAGGAAAGATGATTTGGAACAACACCACTATGGATGGGGAAGGGTTGCTTGTGAAAAGAGATTCCTGCTTCCGAATCCTCACCGGCTGCTTCCTCTCCTTGCTGATCCTTTCCACACTCCTAGGCAACACCCTGGTCTGCGCAGCTGTCATTAGGTTTCGCCACCTGAGGTCCAAGGTGACCAACTTCTTTGTGATCTCTTTGGCAGTCTCAGACCTTTTAGTTGCTGTGTTGGTCATGCCCTGGAAAGCTGTGGCTGAGATAGCTGGATTCTGGCCTTTTGGATCATTCTGTAACATCTGGGTGGCATTTGACATCATGTGCTCCACCGCCTCCATCTTAAATTTGTGTGTCATTAGTGTGGACAGATATTGGGCCATCTCCAGTCCATTTAGGTATGAGAGGAAAATGACCCCCAGGGCAGCCTTTGTCATGATCAGTGTGGCGTGGACCTTGTCTGTGTTGATTTCCTTCATCCCTGTGCAACTGAACTGGCACAAAGCTAAAACCACAAGTTTTTTAGACTTAAATGCCAGTTTCCAGGGTGTGGCCATGGACAACTGTGATTCCAGTTTAAACAGGATGTATGCCATCTCTTCCTCTCTTATTAGTTTTTACATCCCAGTGGCCATCATGATAGTCACCTATACAAGGATCTATAGGATTGCTCAAAAGCAAATACGACGTATATCAGCCTTGGAACGAGCAGCTGTGCATGCTAAGAACTGCCAAACCACTGCTGGCAACAGGAACAGTATGGATGGCCAGCAGCCAGAAAGCTCCTTCAAAATGTCCTTCAAGAGAGAGACTAAAGTATTAAAGACTTTGTCAGTGATCATGGGAGTGTTTGTATGTTGTTGGCTGCCATTCTTCATCCTGAACTGCATGGTGCCCTTTTGTGAGCCCAGTATCTCCTCCCAGGGAGCAGAGCCATTTTGTATAAGTTCTGCCACTTTTGATGTTTTTGTTTGGTTTGGATGGGCCAATTCTTCCTTGAACCCAATCATTTATGCCTTCAATGCAGATTTCCGCAAGGCGTTTTCCACTCTTCTGGGCTGCTATAGACTCTGTCCTGTTTCCATTAATGCGATAGAGACGGTTAGTATCAATAATAATGGGGGAATGGCTTTTTCCAGTCAGCTTGAGCCAAGAGGGTCCAGCCCCAAAGAGTGCAATTTCGTCTATCTGATCCCCCATTCGGTTCTCTGTCCAGAAGAAGAGGACATGATGAAAAAAGAAGAGGAGGGGGTACTCTCTAAAACCTTGGAGAAAATTTCTCCAACCCTATCAGGTATTTTGGATTTTGAGGCTGATGTGTCTTTGGAAAAGATCAATCCAATCACGCAAAACGGTCAGCATAAAACCTGAGGTGTAAAGTTGACTCATTAAAAAAAAAAAAAAATCATTCAAGAAAGATTTTCAACTTTTTTTGTTTGTTTTTAGTAAGAAAGTGTGCTATTGTGTGAATCAAAGCCATCACATAAAAATCCAGAGCTTAATCAGCTGCTGTTTGACAGAAGCATAAGTTTTAAAAAGAAGAATTCCACCTTTCATACATTGTATTTAAGAGGTTGTTCTGTGCTGTTCATCTTGAATGGAAATGAATAAAATGTGTAGGTACAGTGTAGCTGCAAAGGGGAAAAAAGAGTTTAAGTGGATACATGTTTGCAGAAACAGACCTGGGGAAACTAATTATACTTTGCTGTGTGAATAAAATGTATTAAATTTATATGAGGTTCCCATTTGACTTGCATAGTCATTTGTGGGTGTTTATACATTGCAAGTAAAATCTGATGACTTGCCAGATTAGTGGACGCCTTTCAAAATAATTTTGAACATCAATACAGCCTTATAACAAGAATGGGATATTTTTAATAGTAGGAAGATAATGTGTCAATATTGGCTTTCTTTATTATTTAAATGGATATTTTTTCATATGTTTAAACAAACATGACTTTATCTGATTTTAATATATGTTGAAAAAAATAGAATATTTGTATGATGCTATTCATTGCATTTTTGATCTGTTTACTAGTCAGCACTTTATTAAAAAGAAAAAAGGGAGAATTTATGAAGTCAGCTTTGCCTAGCTAACTCTAAAACTTGCAGGTGTTCAAAACACAGCAAAGGTGATAAATCTACAGCACCTTTTGCTGTGTAAAAAGAGAGGCGTTTTGTGGGTTCTTCCTTCATTCTGAAACAGAAGATCAGAGTCGCTTGAATGATAAGTTATAAAAGCTGTGACCTAGAAACAAAATTCATGGCTGTAGTTTGTTTTCAAGTTTCAGTTTATGTTGACTTTGCTTGAATGTCAGCATGTGAAACTGTAGATAGCATATTGTATGTCTTGATCTAAGAGGAATATAGATGAAAAATGAACACCAATTGAAAGATGCAATGATCTAAGAAGCAAAACGTGATCAGTATTTGCTATTTTGAAGATAAACTAATCCTCTTATATTTCTCTTATTTCAAATTGTGGATATTTCATTTGGAGAAACGGAGGGCCGTTCTATCCACAGATATTCTCCATGATAATTAAACAGACCTTCAAATTTGAAGGCATATGCTTCAGAATGCCAGCAAGAAGGAGGGCTATTATTATGCCAACTTCCAAGAGGCCTCTGCCCTGCCACTGTGAGAATGCAAAGCCACCGATGCTTAGTCTGATCCAGCAAGTTCTTCTGTACTCCTATGAAATCGGTACTAAAAACAGTAATGTAGGAATGCTAGTACCATGTGAAGCAGCACAGTTCGTTTTAAATCTGCTTGTTTTAATTTTCACTTTGGTTCACTGCCTCTTGCATAGAAAATAGTGCCTCATTCCAGTTTTGGATTCTCACAGAATGAAAGGAACAATAAAACTGTAACTCCTCATTTTCCTGCAAGTTCCTAGAGTTGCCAAGATTTGTTTTCCTTTTGCTCCCTTGAAACCAAAATTCCTCCCACATTTCCTTAATCATATAAAATAAAAATAATGAATGTTAAAGCTGTAAAAGTAATATACAAACAGTTTCCAGGATTATTATTATTATTATTATTATTATCATCATCATCATCATCATCATCATCATCATCATCATCATCATCATCATCGTTGGATGATAGCAAAACCCTCTCAGATTTTGGAAGAAAATACAGCATTCATTGAGAAATGTAGTCAGAAACAGAGAAATATGAGAGATAAATTAAAAGTCTACAAAAATATACTTCCTAAATCAGGTCTGTGTTACTTAAGTATTGTGAATGTTTTCATAATTCTATTGCCTGTATGCTGCTTTCATACATATAATAAAATTATTTTGTGAACATAAGGTCAAATAAAGCGATTTACATTATATTTATTAAATAAAATTTGCTTTTTTATTGCCATGTTGTTTTGACTAATCGGCAATTTCCTCCCACTTTCTTTTTGATTTGCTTTGGAACCTCTTGTGACATTTAATTAGTGTCTGCTGAACAGCAGCTAGGAAAGTGTCTCATTGCAGTTTCTTTTAGGCACTCTTAAATGTGGATTCAGACAGGGTTGATTTCTATCCTTGTAGAAGATAGGAATGAAGATAGTGTTTTCCTAATATAGAATGCCCTTTTTTCAGGCAAAGGTTTGATTGTCCGCATCTTCTGATAAGGCTGAAAAAAATCTTTGGAGAGTTACTGCCATCAACACATACAGTACTGGGAAAGGAGGAGCAGTGATATTGGCGAAGGCTGTTTTCTGTACTGTAAAGAACAAAGCTTTTTGGTGTAATGTAAAAACAAAAGCTTGCAAGGATTTTTAAAACAATAACAAAATTGAAAAGCTTTATTTTGATCATTAAAGATGTAAACATCTTTATGTCAATGGCTAAAGTAGCTAACTCTTTGCCCCTGTTTTTAAAAGAGAGTCACTGCTTCACCCCCTCATGCGGAGGGGGCTTTCTGATAATTCAGAGGTAAACGAATAATCAGGGATGGTTTATTTCCTCATTCCTTCAGCGGATCAGATTTCAAACTCATGGCGTTGGTTTTATGTTTCTGAAATCTGCAATTTCAGATTTGGTACCTAAAACTTGGTAGAAGAGAACCGGTGGTCTATTTCAGTTGCCCCAAGCGCTGAACAAATCTGTCCTCACATTTGAAGCAGGACCGAGAAACTGTAAATCTTCTGCAAATCTTTTTCTTGCTGATCAATATTATATGAATGCATAAATATGTGCTCATCTCTCTCTCTCTATGTGTCTGCATGTGAGTGTGTGCATGCTTGCATGTGAATATATATGTAAGTATGTATACATTATAACATGTTCAGGTCTTCTAGAACATCCTGGAACTTGTGGTCTTATGAAATTTGCTTCCCCTAGATGACTGCCAAATTGGATAGCTTTTCAGGGAAATAGAAAAATTCTTAGAGGGTGGTGCAGTTGCGGATATTTGTCATAAATGGCTAGTTGTGGCAGAATGCCACTGAATATTGGCTGCTGGGAAATGATGGCATGTTTGGGGGTGCTTGTAGGTTTTTGCAAATGTCTGGTTGATTACCGGGGGAACTGGGCTAAATCATTTGGCTATACTGCTGGACTAGATCTGGCATTTTGTCTGATACATCACAGTTCTTAAATTCTTCTGCCCTTTATGCCTACTCTTAATGTTAAAACAGCTTATATATTCCTTTCTGTGTTCATGTAACTTCCTGTATATATCTTACTGGAATCTGCATATATATTCTTTACATATTATATCTCAGTTTTCTGCAGTTTGAGGGCTGAAGAGTTCTGAAAAACAGCTTGTTATATGGGTCTCCTCACTTCAAGCCTCATTTTCATTGATTTGGGCAGTCCTATGCATTCTGATTGTCTGAAATGGAGCACTGCGCATATAGAATAGTTTTGCTTCTGACCATCAGGCTGAGAGAGTTTCAAGCCTCTTTCTCTCTCTCTGTGCTGGTTTCTTTCTCTCCCTCTCTCCCAGAGATACTAAATGATGTTAAGATGACTATGAAAATTCTCCAGTTATTTAAATAGGCCTGCTTGTCATTCATGCTTGTTAATTTGAATAAAATAGCACAGGTAACATCCAACTGGAGTAACTTCAAGCTGTTTTCAATTGGGGGCATGCATTTTGCTCAATCTCTCGTATCCTAGTTCCCGATGTATAGCTTTAATTTGGTTTAATTTGTATTTTCACTCCAGTGCATGCCTCAAGACAAGTAGTTGAACCACATCTGCAGTTTGAAATGAGTATTTACAGATATTTAAGTTTTCTTGTATAATCCATTCACCTCTGCTGACAGTATCATCCAGGGATACTGAACCCAGAGGGATAAAGGCTGTCTCCTGTCTTGAATTCCTTTCATGTATCCTACAATTGGTGGACAAAGCTTCCAGATATACATATGGTATACAATCAATATACAAACGGTATACAATATATACTGTTAGACAGAGAGAGAGGATGCTATGCATGAACATCTGAATTCAGGAACAACTTGCTAAATCAAGATTCAAGTTCTGTCTAGTAGAGTGTTCAATCCTAGAGATGCCTCTGAGAAGCTCCAAGCTGGGCATGTAGGGAAGAGCTTCTTCATGAAGATGAATCACTGCCTGCAACTAATATTCATGACACCTCGGTCCCTGGAGGTAGCAGAGTGTATTTGTGCCCGGTAGCCATTGACAGTCTTATTCTTCATCATTGGGTCTCATCCTCTTCAAGCTGATGGCCATCAAAACATATTTGTTTAGCTCTGCTCTAGGCATTTCCTTTCATCTCTCCCTGGGATGAGTTCTACTAATATGACAATGGTAGAAAAACATTCCCTGGTCTAATTTCTCCAAAATAGACAAATCTATATACATTTCTTTCTATTTTTCTCAATCACATTCCTGCTTAGTTAAGTTTCTTTCAACTCACAAGGACACTTTTACAAAGGATTATCAAATGCCTAGATTTTGGGAGTGGCACGATGAGTGTGTGACCTTCTATCTTCTACACTTCATTCAGCATCCCTGTTTTTCAACTGTTCTGGCAGGGCTTTTATTGTGAAATAATGTGAAAAAAAACCATGCTATTTCAATTAGACCTAAGGCTCCTCGGTGACATTTTTGAAAGTTCCATGTTTTTTCTGGGCAAAGTATCCCAGTGTGAAATTTATCCTATAAAAATAACATTAGCCTCCTTATATACCTTCTTCCTAGCAATTTTAGCATTTTAGAAGGAAAAACAATCCCTCAAATATCTGTTTTCTGGGCTTCATGCATTTGTCTGTTTCTTCTTTGTTATTTTAATATTTTCTTTAACAGTGCTGCTAAAGTTATTTAAGGATTTATGTGATCTGAGTTATTGTGGGCAGTGGTTAGAAGAACTCCTATAGCTTTTTGAGAACTCTTATAGGC